CCCCAAAACCCCAAAACCCCAAAACCCCAAAACCCCATTTATTCTTCTGAAAATAGAATATTTATGGAGCTGAAATTTATGCTCAAGATGGCCCTGACAGCCAGTTTGATGATATGCTCATGGGCCTTAGAGAGCCCAGGCTTTTTCAATATATATTATCAGGTTAACAATTACTATGGATCTAGGTATAAAGGTAAGCTAGCAAAATAATCTTTAGAGAGATCTTCTAAGACAGTTATAGTCAATGACTCCCCCTCTCAGATTAAATGGGCTCATGTCTTTGGAGTTGACTATGATGGCAACCTCTGGATTGCTGATAAAAGCAACCATGTTGTCAAATATATCGGCCAACAAGTCGGTGCTGTCTATGTAGTAGCAGGAACATTTGGAACCTCTGGGTATTTTGATGGAAATGTAGTAAAGTCCTTGTTCAACAAACCTTCTGGTCTTTATATTTGGAGATCAAGTAGTCATAGCAAAATAAGGGCTCAAAATACGAAACCAGTACTGTTTTCAGACTCTGGGGCTAACACATTTGCATGTAAATTTGCTACTAAGGATAATTATACCATTTGAGGAGGAGAAATCATTACGAGTAGTAGGACTAACAACGATGAGCTTACTCCTAACCAGAAGGAGAAGATCTCTGATGATGATACTGTTAATGCAAAGAATGTCAAAATGATTGGTAATGTTCAACATTATACTTTAGATTTTACACTGCCGTCTCAACTAACAGGGTCTGATGTGGTAGGTACAACTTATGTATATGTTGCTGACACTGGAAATCACTGTATTCGAAGAATTTCATTAAGAAGCTCCCATGTTGATACAGTTGCAGGAATTTGAGGTACCTCAGGCTTCAAAGATGGCCCTCTTGACACAAATCTCTTCAATTCTCCAGAGCTTGTTTCACTCGATGCTGAAGGTATCTTTGAAATCTCATCATAGGGAACATATTCGTCTTTGACGATGGAAACAGCTACGTTAGAATGATAGATCTCACTGGTACAGTTCATACACTTTATCAGGGTGCTTGTGACCTTGCCTACAATGAGTATCCGCCAGAAATTCCTTTTGATCTCAAACTTAAAACTCTAATATGCTATAAAGATTGGAAAAAGGTGTACGGAAAGCCTGATGGACACTATTATTCATCTACGACAACTGAAAATTTCTGATATGATTTCTACCTCTACTGTGAAGATAGGCCCAAACACCCTCTGATACGAAATGACACTATCATTGAAGGAACCTTCTAGATGCCTCTTGTGTAATATTCAACCCAAAGATTTCTCTTAGGGGTTTTGGGGTTTTGGGGTTTTGGGG